GGGGGAAAATTAAATGCAAATTATACTGTATGGCATTTCATATTCTTGACCACATAACCTTTCTTACTCGATCGCCCCTGCAGCATCCCTGTGACGAACATTATAATATAGTCTAAAGAACACAATTGCCATTAGCCAAGATTTAGGCAGGTCAAGGCCATGTAATTAGGAAGATAAATTTGAGATTTTCGATGTTTGTCCATTCAATTAAAAAGTTTTATAAATAAATCCGATACATTGTCTCTTCATAGAAAGAGGTGGTGTCAGTCTGTGCCAAGGTAATCAATCACCCAGGTGACTCCAAAACACTCATTACAAACATGGACTGGGATTTTTTTACTGAGAGCCATATGGGCTGTTCTTACAGCAATTTTGTCAAAACTTTTGTGTGCCGCATGCAATAACAAGAAGTAGTATCAAGTGCAATACCACTTAACTCTAATATTAATATGACTTATTTTTTTAACCATTAAAGTCTTAGGTTCAGGACTGTTTTTATATCCACCCATTATAATTATAATATAGTCATTTTACACAGTTAATATCTACCTCATTCCTATTGTGGACTTTTTCTCCCAGTTCCTATGAAACTGTGGTGCTCCTAACATGGCCTCTGCAAACACTGCAGAAAAGCCTATAAACTCTATAACAATCTTGATGTCTATACATATATATGTGATGAAGCCCACCAGTAAACTAAACAACAGGAGGAACTCGATGTAGCTGCCAAAGTCTGTCCATCTCCAAAAGTACTGGAGCTCAAAATCTGTAAGAGAGAGAAAACAAAAGTCCATGATTGAAAAGCTTATTAATTATTACTTTCATGATTGAGCCTTTTAAAATTGGCAAATTTCCTGGCAACTTTCAGTGAATTTATGTTTTATGGATTATTTTAATGTTCCAGTCTTAATAAGTACGTTTCCATGTAACACTGATTTAATGTCTACTTTTGGATATGGCATATTCCTTGACTAAAACATGACACATTAGTTTAAAATTTGCTCCATTCAGGACTTTTGTTTACAATGTGTACAAAAGAGCACCCTCTTTTAATTCTTAGCATTGTTATTATTCACTGTTGTTCTTTGTAACATGGTTGAGTAAGTTAAACAAGAAATGCACTATTTGAGAATGTCTTCAGCAGAGAGCACAAAATAGGTTTAAATTCTGGGAATTAGTTATTTACAAATGATTACTTCCTTTGCACTGTTCTCATACAAGTTAATAATATTATGTGTTGACAGCATTACCTAAAGGTCAAGGATAAAATATTTTCTAAACACCTTCCATATTCAAATGTAATCAGTTATATGAATGTTATGGACTCATAAGATAGAATACCATGTTAATATTAATAAGCACATGCGCAGAAGCATCCATGAAGTCCATAAATATATATATATATATATATATATATATATATTTGCAATGCTGTTAATCACAGAAATTGCACATGACAACACATTAACAACATCAGTAAAAATGGCCATAAAAGTACACATTAACAACATCAGTAAAAATGGCCATAAAAGTAAAGTGTATCTGTAAAACTCTTATGAACAACTATATATAATATTTTGGCCTTATTGCACACGCCCGCACGCACCGAACAAACACACACACATACACACACATGGACCAGGTGCTGTTTATAATTATATATATTGGAATATTGATAAATAACAGACAATATGTGCATGTCGCTAGTAATTAATTCTTACCTATAATTGTGAAACAACTGTTTAAGTTGCATAGGACCACAACATAGTTGAACAACAATAAAATAATTTCACATAATATTTCTCAAGGAGCATTCTGAATATCATTTCTAATTTGGACTGTTCAAAATTTGTAATGGAATTTGAAAAAAAAAGAAGAAAATATTCATCAATGCTGATTTAACAATTAAGAAATAAATAACTTGACAATGATTCTTTAAATAATTTTAATTTAAATTAAATATTATTTAGAAATCATCTAAATCACTAACATCTGCAGAATTTTTGGTTTCACAACCTTCCTGAACAAAAATATGATACATAAGATATCACATTCACTAAGAATTTCATAAAATTACATTCAATCCAATTTCAGAAATTCATCCGCTTCTTAAAATAAATTCCAAGAAGGCATTGGTTTACAACAATTTGCAAATATAAAAAAGACAGTAAGATTTAATGAAGCACAAAATGAAGCCTTCTGACAAACTAGATTGATGCTATTAATGCAAATTTTACTTGTGAAAAAGAATCATAAAGCTGGTCACAGGTTTGGAGACCACAGGCCCATATCATGAAATATGGTCAATATTCCAATGGGGGATACCA